GAAATTCACTTTCTGCTAGTTATTGTTGTAGTTGGCTGTTTGCCTTGGTATTTGGTTGATTGGTTACTTTCGGCTGTTTGTCTTGGTTGATTGGCAGACAAATTGCATGGGCACATTAAGTGTTGGACGTTGGCTAATTAATTGGTTTGACTTCAGTAGTTGGCCTCATAACTGAAGTAGTTGGCCTTCACCCGTTGGCTTCTCTATAAATAGAGAAGCATGGCAGCAGCAAGTGAGTAGAGCAGAGACAGAAGTTGGCAGAGAGAAGTGAGAGAGGAAAAATAAGAGTTGGGCAGCAAAACAATTGTTGCTGTCGTTTGTTATTTTTCCCTTTTTCAATTGTACTCAATTTGTATTCCCTTTATATTCTTGAGTGTGTGAGCTTGGGTATATTTGGGGCTTGGGTTTCTGAGTGTTAAACACTATTGTATTCTCTCATTTGATTATAGTGGAATACTCCGTCGTCTCCAAACTGGATGTAGGCATTGCCGAACCAGTATAAATCTTGGTGTTCTTGTTGGTGTTATTTTGTGTTCATTATTTTATCTCTTGCCAGTTGTTGTTTATTTTTCACTCACAGTTGGTTGACGCTTCCGCACAACAGGGAAGATGGAGAAGAAAAAATAAAACTGTACCCAATACTTTCAGGCGAAAAGACTTATATATGGGGCTGGCACGATCAACCTTGAAGCCCATTTCCTCGTACATTTTGAGCTGCAACACGATAAAAGAAAAGAGTAAAATTCACTATGGGCTGGCTTAGCAGAAAGTAATCTAACCTTGTACTAGATGTTACATAAGAGTGCCTTGAATCACCTGATCTAGAAAACCATCATTGGGGCAGACAAACTCACAGCTTTGCCTCAGGGATCCGAGTGCATCTGTAGGATTAAGAGGAAGATAAAGACTAAAGCAGCTATTTGGATTCCAAAAATTTAACAGCAACATGTAGTTATATTCGAAGACTGGCGATACTTAAAACAAGCAATGATTTGTTCACACCTTCTTGTGACAAATGTTCTGTTCTCATCAGATATGTTGTAATGATAGATGCACTGCAACAAACACATGCAAACAAGGGTGTAAACACTTTAAACTTGACAATTCAGAAAACTGAAAAAGCTATCAGAATGTAAGCCTGTTCCGAATAATTTCGACATTATTAGTAGACTCTTGTTATTCTAGAACTGAAAATCATAAACTGAGAAAGCAATATGTACCTTCTGGAAACACCAGCTAAGCAATGCACCAAAACAGAACCCTTTTTTCTACCGTTATCAATAAAATCCACACACGCATCCAAATAATCCAATAAATTCTCATCGTCCATGTCTCTTAGCGGAACCCCCATCCTCACCAGCTTCAAATCCTTGCCTGCACGAAAGCTTATCGACCCATCACCAACAGAAGCTGACCCACCAACAGACCCGCCAGCATAGACCTTGATTTCCTTTGTGGGAATTGCACAGAGAATATGTGTGATCTCTTTGCTGCCATTTCGGATAACCTCTGCCGCATCGCCGATGTTGCCGAGGAATAGATTCTCACGAACAAGATACGGCATGATGACTGAAAAATATTTGAATTTTTCCTTAACCCAAGATTATCAAAGCAAGAAAGTGTTAGCGAGATATCCTAGCCCTATTAGGATATTTCCTTCTTATTATATTAGGATTTTATTTATTTCCTTTTGTATAGATGTAATTAGGATTCCACTTATTTTCCTAGTTTAACCCTACTAGGGTTTGTAACCTTGTATTATAAATACCTATTTTTGGAGAATGAAATATATCTGAAAATATTCTATCATATTGTTTGACTTGGCATCAGAGCCGACTTTCTGGTGACCTGTGTGTGTTGTGCCCACCTATGTTCTACTGTGTGCTCTAATTTCTTTTAGAGTTCTTGTGCCTGTGCCTTTGCCGTGTTCCGCTGTGTGCTCTGTCGTATTCGTGCCTTTATTTCCTGTGCCTTTGTTGTGTTCCGTTGTGTGCTCTGTCGTGTTCGTGCCTCTACTGTGTGCCTCTACTGTCTTCGTGCATCTGCCTTTACTGTGTTTGTGCCTCTACTGTCTTCGTGCATCTGCCTCTAGTGTCTTCATACATCTGCCGGATTTGTGTATGTGCTGTGTTCTGTTGTATACTCTGCGTGATTTGTTGGGTTTCTGCTACAATCATGGGTGATAATTCCATTGTTGGTGCTGCTGCTGCTTCTGCAAATTTGCATGTTTCTGACTCTATTCCAGGTACTAGCTCCAATACTTGGATAATTGACACTGGTGCTTCTGATCATATGACTTATGATGCTAAATTTTTTGATGAGTTGTCTATTAACACCCGTAACCCATACATAACTAGTGCTAATGGCTTGCCCTCTCTAATTACTGGCGAGGGCACCATTTCTCTCACCTCAACTCTGTCCTTGTCTCATGTATTATTAGTTCCCAATATCCATTGTAACTTGTTATCTGTTGGTCGCTCATTTGATACACTTAATGCTTCTGCTACTTTCTATCCTACCCATTGCTCTTTTCTGGATCTCAAGACTCACGAGATGATTGGGCATGGTAAACGGATAGGGGGTTATATTATTTAACATTGCCTTTTGCACCAGTTCGTGATCGTGTCGTTAATACTGTTCAACGTTGCAGTGTCAAAGACAAACAGCAAATTTGGTTATGGCATCGTCGCTTGGGACACCCGTCATTTGGCTACCTTAAGCGTCTGTTTTCATCTTTATTCCGCTCTTGTGAAGAGTCAAGTTTTAAGGTGAGACATGTATTTTGGCCAAAAGTCATCGCATTGTGTTTCCTTTGAGTGACAATAAAGCTGCTAAGCCTTTTGATTTAGTGCATTCTGATGTGGGGGGTCCGGCTCCTGTTACTTCGAACGGATTTCGTTGGTTCGTCATATTTATTGATGATTGTACCCAACTCACTTGGGTTTTCTTGCTGAAAAGTAAAAATGATGTTGCTTACATCCTTCGAGAGTTTTGTACTATGGTGTCTACTCAGTTTCATGCTCGGGTCAAAGTATTTCGGACAGACAACGGAGGTGAATATGTGAATAATACTTTAGCGTCTTTCTTCCGTACTCAAGGGATTATTCACC